AGCAGGTCGAAGCTGCAGTGGCCGTGAGTGTGCCACTGCACTCCAACCTGGGTGACAGAGTGAGATTCCAAATCAAAAACAAAAAGAAAGAAAGAAAGAAACACAACCCTGGCCTCACAGACCAAACCCATAGTTAGTATTTGTGCCCACAAAGGCACAAGGGCATTCAGGTCCTTGAAAACCCAGATGAAGTTGTTTAGGCCTGAGTGCACCACCCACTGACCCCCATCACCCCAGTGAGTGACAAACTGTGTCCTTCCAAATCTCCTGCAGCATGCAAAGTTCTGCCAACGCAGTCTGGCTCTAATTATTTATTGACATACGTCTTCACATATATAGTATATGTAAACATCTTATCTTTCCAGTTAAATCATAAATTCTTCAAAGGGACATGGTATATGTTTTTTAAAACCCACAGTGACTAATATGGTGCCTTCATATAAAAGTGCTTCATTCAGATCTAGCCTCATGAGCATCAGTTATGAGTGATTTTTTTTTTATAGCAGAAAGGAACTACGGACATGATTAACCTTACAGACATACTTTAAAAGCACAAATTATTAAGAACACCAGTATTTGCCCTTTCAACTTAGGAGGTTAAATTTTTAAAGTAATTTACTTAATTTTGAAGTTATTGAAAATTGCAAGGGGACTCCCAAGTCAATAATTTACATTATTTACAAAGGTAAAAAACATACTAGTTGCCAAAATACAAACAAGCTAATCTGTGAGATAACCTCAATATCTGACTTTAATCAGAGACTTATGAGAGCAGGTCTATTTCCAGCCTCTTCAAATAAAAGACTATGGACTTGCTCTATAGTGTATATGATTTTTTTTTGAGGATTTAAATAAATAAGTGATAAATGAATGGTTAATGAGAATCTTAGAGTAACAGACCACACTACTCCATGAAGATTCTTATTTTTTTTTTTTTTTTGAGTTGGAGTCTCACTCTGTCGCCCAGACTGGAGTGCAGTGGCCGCTCCCGGCCACCGCAGCCTCTACCCGCTGGGCTCCGCGATCCCTCCGCCTCAGCCTTCCGAGTGGCCGGAATTACAGGCACGTGCTACCACGCCAGGCTGATTTTTTGATTTATTGTAGAGATGAGGTCTCGCTGCCCAGGCGGGTCTTGAACCTGCGGGCTCAGGCAATCCACTCACCTCAGCCTCCTAAAGGGGTGGGATTACAGGCTGAGCCACCGAGCCCGGCTGAAGCTTCTCATTTAAAAAAAATTGTTTTTGGCAGTTCCTTATTGTTTTGTGCATATTATCCTTATTCACTTTTTATTAAAACATTAAACATCATTTCATGCTGATCTAAAGATCATTTTTATTGCATTAGGAAGAATCTTTGCTTTCTAATATTGAAACAGCTGCAATAATTCATAGTAAAAAAAAATCCTTAAGTATATTTTCCAAATGCCATTCTAAATATTGTCTAATATACTGCTAGTTTTTGGTTAGATTTTAAATGCAATGAGACTCCAGTAAAACTATATGAAAAGCATACAATGATGGATTAGACCACAACCAAACCACAACCTCAAGGATTAGAACTTTTTCTGTTTGTTTTTTTGAGTAGGAGTCCCACTCTGTCTCCAGGCTGGAGTGCAGTGGCATGCACACAGCCACCGCAGCCTCAACCCACTGGGCTCAGGTGATTCTTCTGCCTCAGCCTTCCAGGTAGCCGGACCCACAGGCACATGCCACTATACCCGGCTAATTTTTTTATTTATTGTAGAGATGAGGTCTCGCCAAGTTGTCCAGACTGGTCTTGAACCCCTGGATTCAGGCAATCCTCTCGCCTCCGCCTCCCAAAGTGCTGAGATTACAGGTGTGAGCCACTGTGTCTGGCTGAATTAGCACTTTTGATAGTTTCTTTATAAAATGGTGAATTATTATAGAAATTGGTGTCATGATTATTTTAAACCCTGACTTTATCAGCTCTAAGAGATGTTTTAATCCTGTTCAACCTGTTGTCACCCTTAGCTCTTACAGACACATCATTGCAAGTGGCATTGAAATCTCACAGAAGAAAGGTTAAGGCTGGAGGATTAAAGTGTCCCTCTGAGCACACACTATAAATCTGGGGGCACCGGTACCCCATTCCAACCCCACTCCTCACCACAGATTCACCGCTTCACTTCCTTCTGTTCCCAGACCAACTGTTTAGGTAAACTTTCCTTGCATCTGTCTTTTAAGGATTAATGACAGAATACTGGCAGAAAGGTATGTGTTGGGATTATTAGCAAACCTTTGTTATTGTTCTGACTCACGAAAGCTTGGAGGCCTCCCCAAACCCCATATCATCCCCAAGGCTTGTGACTGGCTGGCCACTTCCCAGGGCCTATGATTTAGGGACTGTGTTGTCCTATCAAACAATGATGGCTCTCACCCTCTGTTTGCTCACCTAGTCACCATCTTTCCCTGAGAAGGGTGTATCAAAGCAAGAGAAAGAGTCTGTGGCTATTTCTTCCTCTGCTCTCTAGGTTGGGTATTGTTTCGGCACCTTAGATACACCTATTTTAATTAATTATGATGAAGTATATATTTTGCAAGACCTTGCGCAGACTTCTTTTAAGGAAAAAAAATCATTGTGAAATTAACATGGTGGATTAGGATATGGCTCAAGGCAACCATGTAGCATTGTCTACATAGTCAGTTACATTTTCTTGCGAAAGAGAGGCTTTAAATTCATTTGAAAGTGCCAGGAAAGCTCACATGGGCCACTACTTTTTGCTCTTTGCAAGTTATAAGCCACCATGTGTATTTACCTTCCAGAACAATTGGGGCCCACCCTGGTGATTCTCCAGTTAATAACTAATTGAAATGCTTCTGAAGAAGGAAGATGGGCCTCCTCCACAACCTCAATCTTTTTTTGTTTTTGAGTTGGAGTCTCACTCTGTCGCCCAGACTGGAGTGCAGTGGCCACTCCCGGCCACCGCAGCCTCGACCTGCTGGCCTCCAGCGATCCTTCCACCTCAGCCTACGGAGTAGCCAGAACTACAGGCATGCGCTACCACGCCCGGCTGATTTTTTGATTTATTGTAGAGATGAGGTCTCGCTGCCCAGGCGGGTCTCGAAGCCGCGGGCTCAGGCAATCCACTCATCTCAGCCTCCCAAAGGAACGGGATTATCTACAGATTTTATTTCTGAGTAGAGGCAGGAGTGGAGGGAGAAGAGGTTAAGTCAGGGACAATGACACATAGTTGTAATGACAGTTGCAGGATTTTGACAGAGCAGGGATGCTTCTGGGTTGAAATGCAGTTTTCACAGAATAACATCTATAGATTGGAATTCCAAGGCGCATACTACTTAACAGTTTGATTTGACAGGGCATGTACAAGTTCCCAAGGCAGAGTTACTGAATCTGGGATCTAGGACCATCTATACCATCCAGGGTACTTCTTAAAAATACAACCTCCCCCCCCCCCAAAAATACAAATCCTTGGGCCCTATTCCATACCTACTGAACCAGAATTTTCCGGGGGCCAGTGGTGGGGCAGGAAGGTGCAGACTTTTGCCTCTTAAGCACGTTCAAGTTTAAAACCACTGAAGACAACTCACTGATGGATCCAAGAGCCTAGAACAGCAATTGACACAGTTCAGTAAATACCTGTTGAATGAAAAAAGGCCTTAAGGGTTTGTGGCACTCAAAGGCTCCAATTATGACTATTTTCCAGGCCTCAAATCCAAAATGCTGTCATAGCACAAGTAAAATGTTACACACCCAGAGGACATTCCTAGCCAGATGAGGGTGCAGGGGAAGCTCTCCTATCTCCGCCCATCATCCTAAGCAAATTGTCCCCACCTAAACAGGCCTCTCCTTGCCTGTTCTTAACTGTAAAAGCTGTGACAGAGAAAACAACAAACTAGACTCACAGCCCCACACCCTTAGAAAAAAGGATAGGATTAATAAAATTAAGGTGTAAATAGGATCCTAGATCTAGCATATGAATAAATCTACCATTCACCGATAACTGAAGCTGGGCAAACTTCTAGTTTTGTATGTAGGCTGAGCAGCCAAGGGATTAAATTTCCTCCCTTATCATTCAAACCATAGGAAAAAGAAGACAAGGGAAATGCAGTCTTGACTTTGTATATACACTATACGAAGACGATATTTACTAAGAACAAGTGAATGGATAAAGAACCAAGGTATGTCCATACAATGGAGTGCATTATGCATTATGCAAATTGAAAGTCAACCCAAAATGTTACATATCAGTATGATTCTGTTTTTGTAACATTCAGAAAAATGCAAAACCATAGAAAGGAAGAACAGTTGCCTAATTAGGGTAAGGAATGAGGGACATTTAACTACAAAGGAGTAGCGTAGGGAAATTCGGGGGACGAAAAGATTTTGTCTTCCGATTGAGATGGTAGTTGCATGAATCTATGCATGTGTTAAAGCTCATAGTACATAGTACTATACATCAAAAAAAAAAAAGTGAATTTGCTGTAAGCAAATTATGCTTAAAAAAAAAAATCCAAGCCGGGCTCAGTGGCTCAGGCTGTAATCCCGTGCCTTTGGGAGGCTGAGGATTGGGAGGATTTCCTGAGCCAGCGGGTTCGAGACTTGCCTGGGCAACTTGGTGAGACCTCATCTCTACAATAAATAAAAAATGAGCCAGGTGTGGTAGCGTGTGCCTGTAGTTCCAGCTACTTGGAAGGCTGAGACAGAGGGATTGCCGGAGCCCAGCAGGTCGAGGCTGTGGCCGGGAGCAGCCACTGCACTCCAGTCTGGGCGACAGAGTGAGACTCCAACTCAAAAAAAACCAAAAAAAAAAAACCCAGTGTGTGCACAATGTAAATTATTAGGCCTCTGAAGGCTGCTGAGACACTTTCCTTCCCTTTACCAATGTGGAAAGACCAGGAAAATTGTGGTTTTGGAGTGTGGGAAAAAAAAAAAAAGTGAAAAATCATTGCTACACCACATGGTTGATGCTAAGTACATTATACCTGGTGCCAAATTTATCATGTTATAAACTGGAAATCATTTTGTAGAAAATTCCTTTATTATAGTGCAAATAACTTTCAGCAGTGACATAATGTAACAACACATTTAGCACATTTTACACCACGCAGTAAATAAGAAAGTGTTTCTTTGAAAATATGTCATCATAGGAACATTATTTCTACATCAATGCCAGAAAATGCCAAGGCTGTTTCTCTCAAGGCAATAGGGCTACCTCCCTCTTTTTGGATATTATTTTTAATGCAAATTAAATGATTTACCATTTTAACAAATCATCAATTCTAAAAGTGAGCCCCCAGGGAGTTTTGAACTGAAATTAGCAAGATTTGAAATGGGGTTTCAAAATTTAAAAAAATAATATTTTAAAAACAATTCTGGGATAGCCCAAAAAGTAGAAGTCACTTATATTAACATTTTAAGTAGATACACACATTCACTCCAATTCTGCTATAGAAACGGACAGATTGTCTACAGCCTGCCTTCTATTCCCCCAGAGCCTGATTGTTATTTATATTTCTTGATTTTGGTTATTGTGAAACAAGGGCTCTGGTCAGAAAAAACTCCTTACATACCCAAATACTTTCCTGTGAAGCTTTAAATTGCACTTTCCATCCTGAAATTCTCACTTTAGACCTCACAGGCCCAGGAGAGGGTGTTTCCAGTTTATAGCTAACCATTTAGTACAACTGGATGAATCCCCTGCTAATTTAGCTATCCCTGAATCAAATCATCATACTGTTTAGATGAATCCCAACTGATTTATCCAAGAGGTTCCACTGACCTCACTGAAAAACAGAGTTAACACTCTATTTTCGCACTATGTTGCCGAAGGGCTTGGCTGCTAATGAGTTAGCTGATAGGTAGAGAGAACAAGAGTGTCAATTCCAATCAGTTATACTCCCTGCTCCTCTAGTTTCCACTGAATTATGCAGTAGGTGGGAATGGTTGGCCACTTGAAAGGGTCCATCTAGGGGGTCTTCCACCATAGGCTGAATCAAAACTATTACAAATATATTTTAGGGTGTTCTTTAAGTCTCTCTACAAACACTCCTCAAACTTTTTAGAGACAAGCCATGAGAAGTTAACCATAGGCTTCAAGACACCTAGAGCCACAGAACAGCCCTCATGGCTGTATATGGCTGAATTAAGTCAGCTGGTACATAAAGTTTTCCTTGGAGCTGGTCTCGCTGGACACAATATCTTTATATACATATCACACTATGGAACAGTGCCAAACAGGTTCAAAGTTGAGAAGAATCCAAATATATATATATCATCTACAAAAAATTCACAATTTTAGTTTGCTTTGTCTTAGACTTTGGTACTGAAACACTGTCTACATTCTTGACACCTGAAAATGACATTACCACTTCAGTGCCCCTGCATGTTGTATAAAAAACACAAAAGCAAAGCAGGACAAGGACGTGTCATTACAAGACATAGTATGCTGTACAAACAAAACCTAAATTATATATAAATACACCCCCACCCCAGTACCCCTGTCTTCCCCCACTACCTGACCAAAGCAATGCCAAGGGTCCTTCTCTCCAGGGCCAGTGCAGCTCGTGAAATCCAGCATCCAGTACTCCAACCATTCTCTGCCTTGTGATGGTCACAGTACTGCAGCCTCCTGCTGGAGTCACCCTGCTGTTTGATCAGTTCCACATGTGAAGGGAAACACCTACAGCTTAACTGGAAGCATCTACACTATTGGCTGGACTCAAAGACTTGGAGTCCTGGGAGTTCACCTTTCAGATAAACTGACTGCATTATGTCCTAATCTGGATCCCATCTAATCCTACTGTCTCACAGTCAACACAGTAGGAAGCATCTTCTACTCTGAAGCTCCAAAGGCATTACTTAGGGATATTGGTGAGGGTCACATAAGAAAAGTTATACAATGAGCTAACAGCTTATGTTGATATAAATTACTTCTAAGTAAGTTATTCAGGGCCATTTGCTTCTGCTTTACACTGCATTCCATAATCATTTTCAAATTATTCTTTTTAAAGTTTTATGTAATAGTCATTTTAAAAATTGTCTCTGCAATCACCTCTTATGTGTTTGCAATTAATTTAATAACAACTCAATGAGCTATTATACAAACCTAGGGAGAAGTAGTTAATTAGTCTTAAGGTAGCCAATACTGTGCTAATTCACAGTAAAGAGAAAAAGCAATGTAAATAGAATTTTACATAATCAACAATACTGTAACTTGAAAAGCAGTTTATCGAAATGTTGCAAAGTTTTCCCAAAAGCACTTACAGCAATTTATATCAAAAGATCCTAAGTTTAGGGGTATGAAGAATATGACCCAATTCTTTTAGGTAGAAATTCACCTGTTTCATAATTGTAATACATACTTTTCCCCCTTGGACCTAAGATATTTGTACATTCAAAAGTTTATAGTTTGCTGTTCTTGAGACACTGCTCATTCTCTAATACATACTTGAGTATAAATAAATAACTACAAGAAAGCTTCAACAATCTGAATTAACATTATGCTGTGCAAAACAAAAACAAAACAGAAAGAACAAACAAAACTTGAACAACCTACATTCTATGTAAATACCCTGACTAAAATGTTAGTTGTGCTACACAATTCCACGTCAGTGCAGAAATGCGTTCATTTCGGTGTACCGTTGTTGTTATTGTTTTAGTGTCTTTAGCACTTCTGTTTCTAAGCAACACCTTGCTTTGAAAAGATGAATAATTTGCTACCAAATCACAAATCATCACAAGTCCATTTTAGTTTAGTCTGAATAAAATCCAGCATACATGTATATTACTTTGTTCTGGGAATAATGGCTCGATGTCTTTGTCCCAACAGCTTTTTTTTCAAGGGCAAACCATGGTTGAAGCTGTCACTTTGGGCTTAGACTGCACAGAAAAAGAGACAGTGAAGCTTGCTATTTGTCTTGTTTTATTTTCAAGTCTCCAGATCTTGCTAGGACACTTCTTCCAGACCAATAGTCAGATAGTTGCGGCACGTGGTCCTTTTTGAAATTGAGGTGGTTTAACATCAGCCAAGCTTGGTGATCTGGAGGTCCCCATTTATCTTTATGGTGTCGATGGCAGACAATGTTTGAATGCGATGGTAAAAATCAAAAAGTTGGTGTCCATCCACAAACACTCTGAAACGTGGGTGTTCACAGAGAATTTCCACCTGGAAAAAAAAAAAAAATCTCAATTCACAATTTCTATGAACTTTGCTGGGGGAAACAAATAAATAATACTTCATTTTAGAGACAGAAAAGCAGTATCTTCAGTGGTTCACAAACATTAGAATGCAAAGGGACCGTGCAGAGGGCTTGTTAGAACACAGATTGTTGGGCTCCACTCCCTAAATTTTCAATTCACTTGGTCTAGGATAAGGTGTAAGAATCTGCATTTCTACCAAGTTCCAAGGTAATACTAATGTTGCTAGAATAGAGAACACACTTTGAGAACCACAGCTCAATTGGGGTCCCCAGCCCCTCTCCCCACCATGGAGTGGCCTGTTAGGCCACACAGCAGGAGGTAGGTGACAGGCAAGCTGCTTCCCATCACTCATATAACAGCTTGAGCTCTGCCTCCTGTCAGATAGCCACAGCACTAGATTCTCATAGGATGGTGAACCCTATTGTGAACTGCATATGCGAGGGATCTAGGTTGCACACTCCTTATGAAAATCTAATGCCTGAATGTCTTGAGGTGGAGCTGAGGTGGTAATGTTAGCACTGGGGAGCGGCTACAAATACAGATTACTGTGAGGTTTGACTGTACAGAGACCATAATAAATCAATTGCTTGCAGATGTATATCAAAATCCTATCAGTGAGTGGCAAGTGAGTTGATGTACTTCAACTGTACAGCTGCATCTGGGGTAGGCTTTAAGTCAGAATTGAACACTTATTTTGGTCTGCACATGGTTTGCCCATTATTTTATTGCCACTGCTGTCCATGCCTCTTTTTTTTTAGATGGTGGCTGCATAATGATTTCATTATATATTACAATGTACTAATAACAGAAATAAAGTACACAATAAATGTTATGCACTTGAATCATCCTGAAACCATCCCCCTCCCCTCAGTCTGTGGAAAAATTATCTTCTATGAAACTGGTCCCTGATGCCAAAAAGGTTGGGGATCGCTGCTCTACACTATGTAATATCCTTTTAGATTTAAAATTGTTTATGCTGTAACATTTCTCGCTTCTTCCTGCACTCCAGAAAGTGATGTAAAGTAGCATGGATGTGTTTATATGGCACTTAATGCCTCCACTGCCATCCTCGGAATTCTAAGCACCTTCAGAGGAGCCCCTCACCAGGCAAAACAGGTACCCATTAGCAGAACGTAATAATAGTCTAGAGACTCAAACATGGTAAACACTAAAGCAGAGAGAAGGTTACACAGTAATTACCATTGGACCAAAGATGTGTAATTAACAAGGCTTTGTTAAGCCAAACAGAAATACTGATTCCATAAGGTAAAAGCTTTTTCCTCTCCTTTTCCTTAGCTTAAGTAATTTACCATAGGGTTTAATTATTGGTAGTGTGCTATGACGGATTTATTAAAAGCACTGGTATCCACCAAGCAAGAAAAGACTCTGTATGTGATATTAGTCACATTTAATTCATATTATTACTAAAATTATATCACCTAGAAGTGCCTGTTTCACTTCTATTTTGTTGTTGGGGAGCATTATATTCCTCCTGGCAGTCAGAAGCTCTGGTTACTCACACTTCTGAGATCTGCATTAAGAAATTGCCCCAGCCAAAAAGAGCCTAAGAGGACAATACCATTCTAGAGAAAGGGCTGGGGAAGGATAATGGGTCAGGGGTACCTTCCTGGACTACAATTAGAATGGCAAAATCTCAATTCTATCAATGATATAAAAGTTATGGATTCTTATTTTCTTAGACTATAAGAAGGGAAGAGAAATAAAATGACTTTATAAAGCCCTTGAAAATTTCCAGATGAAGAGTAACAGGTTACAAGTAGTTCTGTTTTATTGGGTTTATGAGGGGGGAACCAAAAAACCTCCAGAATTATCTTTTGGAAGGTGGGCCTCTTGTAGTACAGGCTTCCCCTGCTAGGTAAGTGTTCTAGGAATCCATTGGCATCAGTGTACCAGCTAGCGTTGTCTTGAGAGGTTGTGTTCGGCTTCAGCAATTTTGTTTTTGGAGATTCTTTCAACACTTTTGCTCATTTCATGATGGATGATTTATGAGAGCACTGCCCACACTGCTGCTGAGTGTTCAGCAGTTTTTGACCAAAACCTGCACGATCCTCATCCCTATTCACCTGATCTCACCCCGAGCGACTTATTTTTTGGTTTCCCAGATGAAAAAAGTCCTCAAAGGGAAACGTTTTGCCGATGTAGAAAAGGTGAAACAAAAAACAGCAGAAGCACTAAAAGGGATCAAAACTGATGAGTTCAAACACCATTTAGAGTGGTGGTAAAAGCATCTTGATAGGTGTATTGCACCAAACAGAGAATACTTTGAAGGTGACTGAAGTTTAAACATGTAAAAATAGGTACACCATTTTTAATAAATATATTCTGGGTTTTTTTGGGGGGGTCCCCTCCTCATACATGTAATACAGAGCTGCTGAGTTAGTATCGTTGTGATGTAATGTTAACAAGATGCAATGATGAAAACTTTATCATCATGTGTGACGCTTCAGTAAATCCTTTCTAACACATTACATTTGCTCCTCTTATCAGGCATTGTCCTTCATAGAGGAAGGTGCTGCGAATGCTGTCTGGCCGGGTGGTAAGTTTGGGCTGTGCTTCTTGCCCGCTAGATAGTGGGGAGCAAGTCTATATTCATCCAGGCCCAAGGGAAGGAATTTGTCAGCCACACATCCTGTATCCATGAAATAGACTGAGGCTAATTAACCCAAGGGGGAAACAAGGACAAGACATGGCCTCATTAGCAAAGGAAACAGGAAAAAGTGAAATGATAATCATTATATTCTTAAAAAGTCATAAGGACAAGGTTGAGAGGTCTCAACCTTATTAATGCTTATAATATTAAGAATTGGCCACTTTATTAATAAGTGTATTGATAAGTGTATCTTTTTATTAAAAAGTGGATGCTTAGTATTTATTAGTCAATCAGGTATTTGAGGGCAGATATCTACTATAACATTTTAAAATGACCCAGGTCCCCACATATGCTTGAACACTATGTTGGGCACTACATAGAAAGGTATTTATTCTTAACAATCCAGACATGGAAATAAAGGTCTATTTACTAAATGTACAAGCTAAATAGAGCTAAGAGCTACTGGTAAGTATTAATGCATATCAGCAAACTGAGCTCTTCTGATCTTATTTCTTTTTCACCATTGGATGACAAATTTCCTAGACATTTAGAAACTCTGGCTGCTTCAAGTGTTCTTTCTTGGCACATACTAGGTAGACAGAACATCATCACTCTGCCAGTGTCTGGGGCTGAGGCACTCCAGGTACTCACCCTGAATGGCTGGTCTGGGATGAACGGAAAGTAAGGGATCGCTGACTGCTCTTCACCCCTTTCTCCGGATATACAAGAATTTCTGAGTAGCTGCCGGTCTGTGAACACAGCTTTGAGTTCGATTGCCACATCGGCAGGAGGATCTTCCGAGTCACCGCAGGTCAAGCTGATTGCAAAGCTGAAAGGAAAACAGCCTCATTTATTCAGGGTTGGAGATAACATTTCAAAATGATTCAGGTCCCTATATTTTCTCTGTTTTCTCTGGGTTTATCTGTTTTTAACGGGCCACTACTCTCTTTTAAGAGCAGTTAAACTATGGAGAAGTAAGTAATTCAAACCAGTTTATTTCATCACCTTAAACAAGCTCTAGTGAAAACTTTGGTGAAGTTAAAAATAAATAAAATTAGAGATTTCAAAAACCCCAAAGTACCCAAACATCTGGGTCTTAATTCATTTCAGAATTCTCAAATACAACTGCAGAAATTGACCAGAGAAATAATATTTTAAGTTGGGTTCTTATTTATCTTGATAGTTCTTGCTCCAAGTACCATGTTTCAAAACCATAAAAAAATAAAAAAAAAAAAAATCCTTTGGTCTCCCTAAGGGTCAAAGAGAAAATGTGGGCGTATATTTATAATCTCTGATATAAATAGCTGTCTGGAGAAATGATGGCTGGGATTCATACACATTCTTTTCATGGGAACATGGTACTTTCTTGGCACTCCAACTAGCAACACTGTCCACAAGGAGAGGAAGAGGAGGAGCATTAAACCACAACAGGAGTGGGCAGAGCCCAGCCCAACGCTGGATACAAGGACTCTGCCTTACCTCTCTGGGTTGAGGTCTACGATGCCCATCACTAGCACCTTCTTGCCTGGTCTCATGCCACCTTTAATGTGCCCACAAAATGGAACTATCTGTAAAAGATTGGAGAAGAAACAGGGATCTTACAAGCCTGTCAGGGAAAAGCCAAGCCCTCAGATCCTGAGGGTCTGACCCATTAGAAAATGCAAGGAAAATGAATTAGAAAGGAAGGCAGGTACAGGCAGAGACACAGAGCGCAGAGTGAAATCATTTACCAGTCGTGGGAAGTACACGTCGGCTTGAACTGGAGAGCTCAAGGAGTTGTTTAAATGCCCATCGTCTAGTTTCTAAAAATAGAAACACACAGATTGGCTTTCCATAAGCTATTCTTTTGGGGGGGGGATAGGGAAAGAACCTACACAAATCTGGTGGAATCCAGCAGCCCTCCACATACACACAGGCAGTGCCTGCAGATGCCTCTTCATAGTCCCTTAAATAATCGCATAAACCCCTAGAACAAAACTCGTCCTTTCCACATGGTAGCCAAGCTTCTGAAGATCCTCCAACCCTTGAGATCCAGATCAAAATCAAGGTCGAGGTCCTCCGAGGAGCCAGAGCCCGCTGCCGGAGGACAGGCCCCTCTCCAAATGCAAACGCTTCTGGCAGCGCTGTGGCCCAGGCCTGTCCTCCGGGACGTGGCTGAAGTGGAGCAGCGGCGCTCAACTTCTCTCCGGAGCCCGGGGCACCAACCCATCTCCAAGGGGGAATCCCCGGGACGTCGAGGGCGGTGGCGGGCGCGCGCCCCGGACACACTCACCCACGCGCACACTCACACATGCAGCGTGCACACACCTGGCTGGCGGGGGCACGGCACACAGGCGGCTGTCGGGCACCCCCACCCTGCCATCCGTCCCCGAACACCCTCCCCAGCCCACAGCCCCCCAGCCCGGGGAGCCCCTCCCGCCCCCAACACCGGCCGCGCAAGCCGGCTCCAGCTCACAGGTACCGGGGCGCCTTCCCCCGCGGGGTGGCCGGACCCGGCCTGCCGCTGCTCTGCGCCCCAGCACGGCTGCAGCAGGCGGCGGCGGGAAGGGGGCGCCTGACGCGCGCCCCGCCACACTCACCACTACGGCGTCGCTGTCGGCCACCGATCCCGCCATCTTCCTGCCCGGCGCGGCGGGGTGCACGG